CTTAAGCACTATTGTTAATTAGTGCTAAGTAGTAATTAGTAATTAGAGAGAGAGAGAGAGACGAGTGAGAGAGAGAGAGAGAGAGAGAGAGAGCGAGATTCTGCTTATTACCATAATCATGATCATTAATTACTATGCCAAGATAGATCGCCCTCCTGACGCATGGAAGATCGGCATAAATGCGATTATAAATATCATTAATAATGAATAATGATCCTTATCACAGGTAATTATGATAATCATGAATATTAAAGTACCTAAGATCATAACCTACAACATTAAAATAAATTATAACTTATTAATACCCCCCTCCCCCCCCCACGACAGATGGTGAACGGCCAGAACCTCAAGATCCTCGGGTTGGTCGAGGGAGACGCAGGAATGTACCAGTGCGTGGCGTCCAATGCAGCTGGGTCGGCACAGGCCAGCGCCCAGCTTAGGGTCCTGAAGTCGAGTGAGTATTTGGGAGAGAGAGAGAGGGAAGGATGGAGGGAAGAGAGAGGGAAGGAGGAGGGAAGAGAGAGAGAGAGAGAAGGAGGAAGAGAGAGAGAGAAGGAGGGAAGAGAGAGAGAGAAGGAGGGAAGAGAGAGAGAGAAGGAGGGAAGAGAGAGAGAGAGAAGGAGGGAAGAGAGAGAGAGAGAAGGAGGGAAGAAGGAGGGAAGAGAGAGAGAAGGAGGGAAGAGAGAGAGAGAGAAGGAGGGAAGAGAGAGAGAGAGAGAGAGAAGGAGGGAAGAGAGAGAGAGAGAAGGAGGGAAGAGAGAGAGAGAGAGAGAAGGAGGGAAGAGAGAGAGAGAAGGAGGGAAGAGAGAGAGAGAAGGAGGGAAGAGAGAGGGAAGGAGGAGGGAAGAGGAAAAGAGAGGGAAGGAGGGAAGAGAGAGAGAGAAGGAGGGAAGAGAGAGAGAGAAGGAGGGAAGAGAGAGAGAGAAGGAGGGAAGAGAGAGGGAAGGAGGGAAGAGAGAGAGGGAAGGAGGGAAGAGAGAGAGAGAAGGAGGGAAGAGAGAGAGAGAAGGAGGGAAGAGAGAGAGGGAAGGAGGGAAGAGAGAGAGAGAAGGAGGGAAGAGAGAGAGAGAAGGAGGGAAGAGAGAGAGAGAGAGAAGGAGGGAAGAGAGAGAGAGAAGGAGGGAAGAGAGAGGGAAGGAGGGAAGAGAGAGAGGGAAGGAGGGAAGAGAGAGAGAGAGAGAGAGAAGGAGGGAAGAGAGAGAGAGAAGGAGGGAAGAGAGAGAGAGAGAGAGAGAAGGAGGGAAGAGAGAGAGAGAGAGAAGGAGGGAAGAGAGAGAGAGAGAGAAGGAGGGAAGAGAGAGAGAGAGAGAGAAGGAGGGAAGAGAGAGAGAGAGAAGGAGGGAAGAGAGAGAGAGAGAAGGAGGGAAGAGAGAGAGAGAAGGAGGGAAGAGAGAGAGAGAAGGAGGGAAGAGAGAGAGAGAAGGAGGGAAGAGAGAGAGAGAAGGAGGGAAGAGAGAGAGGGAAGGAGGGAAGAGAGAGAGAGAAGGAGGGAAGAGAGAGAGAGAGAGAAGGAGGGAAGAGAGAGAGAGAAGGAGGGAAGAGAGAGAGAGAAGGAGGGAAGAGAGAGAGAGAAGGAGGGAAGAGAGAGAGGGAAGGAGGGAAGAGAGAGAGAGAAGGAGGAAGAGAGAGAGAGAAGGAGGGAAGAGAGAGAGAGAGAAGGAGGGAAGAGAGAGAGGGAAGGAGGGAAGAGAGAGAGGGAAGGAGGTAAGAGAGAGAGAGAAGGGAGAGAAGAGAGAGAGGGAAAGAGGGAAGAAGAGAGAGAAAGGAGGGAAGAGAGAGAGAGAGAGAAGGAGGGCAGAGAGAGAAGAGAAGGAGGGAAGAGAGGGAAAAGGAAAGGGGGGGGGGGGGGGGGGGGGGGGGGGGGGGGGGGGGAAGAGAGAGAGGAAGGAGGGAACAGAGAGAGAGAGAGAGAGAAGGTTAGGAAGAGAGAGAGAGAAGGAGGGAAGAGAGAGAGAGAGAGAGAGAAGGATGGAGAGGAGAGAGGAGAGAAATGAGGGAAGAGAGAGGGGGGGGGGGAGAGAGAGAAGGAGGGAAGAGAGAGAGAGAGAGAGAAGGAGGGAGGAGAGAGAGAGAGAAAGAGAAAGGAGAGAGAGAGGAAGGAGGGAAGAGAGAGAGAGAGAGGAAGAGAGAGAGAGAAGGATAAGAGAGAGAGAGAAGGAGGGAAGAGGGAGAGAATGAGGGAGAGAAGAGGTAGGAGGGAAGAGAGAGAAGAGAGGAGGGAAGAGGAGAGAGAGAGAAGAGGGAAGAGAGAGAGAGAAGGAGGGAAGAGAGAGAGAGAAGGAGGGAAATAGAGACGAGAAGGAGGGAAGGAGAGAGGGAAGGAGGGAAGAGAGAGAGAGAATGAGGGAGAGAGAGAGAGAAGGAGGGAAAAAAGAAGGAGAAGAGGAAGGATCATAGGGAAGGAGGGACGAGAGAGAAGGTAATGAGGGAGAAGAGAGAGTAGAAGGAGGGAAGAGGAGAGAGGGAAGGAGGGAAGAGAGAGAGATAAGGGGTGAAGA